CTGCATAGTAACAAAACCAGGTCTTCAGTTTCTTTCTGAAGTCTAAGAGGGAGGGGGCCAACCTCACTTCTGGGGGAAGAGTGTTCCAAAGGGCAGGGGCTGCTGCAGAGGCCGCTTTTACACCTCACCTTGGAGTAGCTTTCCCCCAGCCTAGCATCCACCAAGTAAGCTGGGCCACAAGCTGGACTGCACCTTCAGCTTCCCAGGAATCATTCTCCAAAGAGGCTGGTGGGTGCCAAGTTGGGAAAGGCTGAACTACAGCATGGTATGAGAAATGGGCCACAAAATCCTGAGAGGTTTGGTGCACGAACGCCAGCTCCAGAGGAAGGTTAAGGGTTCCCATTCTGGAGTTTGCCTAGTGTAGGTGTTGGATTGGCCCTGGGGCGAACCCGATTGAGGTTCTCTTCAGCCATGGGTGTCTTTGGCCTTGACATTCTTTCACAGCCAAACCTTCCTGACCAAAAAAATGGAAGTGTGAGCACTACTTTGTGCTCCTGGGGAAAAGGCAGGATAGAAACCTAACCAATTAACAGAAGAGGCAGATTTTACAGTGCTCTTTGTGTGTTTCCAGAAGAAATTGGCTAACCTCTTGCAAATTATAGTGCGTGATTTAGAATGCCCACAAGGCATTTCCAATAACTATTTCACCATAGGCCATTTGCTTGCAGGAAACCGACCATCAGCTGAATGTGCCCCACTTAGCCACTTTTGCTGAAGGTTGAGTCTGCTCTTGAGCAGAACATCTGATGGCACAGTTATCATTACACGAAACCAAACCCTAGAGCTGAGAAGCGTTTTTTCTAAACCTTCCTGATAAATCCAAACAGTAGATGCTCAACAGCTTTTTCAGAAAAGATCTGTGTTTCAAGCACAACCATAATAAAGAATGTAGGATTATAGGCTTCTTTTGTTTATTTGGAAGTTATGTCTTCTACTTAAAACAAACTTTGATTAAACAGATGATTAACATTTTCCAGACAATGTTGGCAAGCTTTTCAGTAAGCAAAAATAAGAAAGTCATAAATAGGACAGCCCGGTTGCAGCTCTTCAGTAAAAGAATTAATGTGAAAATATAGGAAGGGGATAGAATCAGGGAAGACAGAAGACAAGGCCTTTGTCTCCTGTAGCGATATCCTTTCTTACAGATGCCACCAGCTATGTTGGATATCAACCCCCATGGGCCATTTGAGCAGCTGAAGGACAACAGAGTGGGGTGTTAGGGGAACCACAATCCACAATGGGATATTTTGCTCAGTGTTTCAAGCACAACCATAATAAAGAATGTAGGATTATAAGCTAAGGGGCTGTCAAAGATGTGGGCAAAGGTAGGGAACATGTGGACATACCATTTTTTTTTTAAATTCAAAGTTACACCAAACATGAGGAAGAGGAGAAAAAGAGACATAGTTCCTTTCAGGCATTCCAGGCCCCAAACCAAACAGTTGGCCCTTTCCTTTCCTTTGGAGTTCACATCCCCAATTAAAGATTTAGTTCTGGAACATCAAATAGCAGTTACTGATGAGCGCTTTTCATCAAGAGAGCCCCAGAAAAGGAAACAGCTACATTCTCCCCTCCTTACACTCACTCTGATCTTGATCATTATCAGCACATCTGCAGGTGCTATTTCAATGTGCGCATTAAATGCAGGGCTGCCTAATGTCATGTCGAGTTTGGTCCTTAGGAGTGGAATAGAAATTCTTTTAATTAGACTCATTCTTATTCCTTTCTTTTCCTGCAACCCACTTCACTTCCAGCTTCCTCCCTCTCTCATTAGCTTCCTCTGGTGATGGGAACTCAGGAGGCATAAAAGAAAAAGAAGCACTTGGATCACAATAAGAAAAGCAACATTGGAGGCTAATTCTCGCTTTCTGAAATGGTTCTGGAGGAGACTGTCCTTGGTGACACTTCCAAGGTTTGCTACATATTATGGATTTTTTTTTTAAACATGGCAGCTCTGAAGTGATTAAGGCTATTCATGACCTTCTCTTTTTCTATATCTTGCCCAGAAGAAGGGAAAACTGCTTAGTGCAAATGCATTTCCAAGTGCCTTAAGGGGCATTTAGCTAACACCCTGGACTTCGCGTTGTCTCATTTTGCCAAATAGGAAGAACAGCTCTATAAAACGGTGTAGACGGATGGTTAAGCAGCCTGCTCAAACAATCCTCTTGTGCAGGAATCACGGTTGCCAAATCAGGTCTTACTGTTAGAAAACTGGACGAATATGCACTGCTTTTGTAGCCATATAAAACCTCCAACACCCCAGGCCCTAAATGTACTCATTGTCAACTCTGATTTTGCTGAAACCTCTGGCTCTTTTGGTTTACAAATGCACCCTTTTTGATGTAAGCACAGTCCTTGTTGCGGGTGCCTGCAATTGTCTGAAATCCATTCAGAACAGCTTCACATACTGGACTAGTTTCTGCTGTGAAAAACTAGTCTTTGACTTGCACAACAGTGCCCCTGTATTGTACCTGTCCATGGAGGCTCACACAACGATGTGCTTCTCTAAACAGAACGTATTCTGCCACAAAAAAAAGCAGCCTGCCATGTGGGAAAGTCCTAGCACGTGGTTTTCTATGCAGATGAAGCCTTGCTCAGAGCCAGGCCAGCATCACTTGTTATGGGTTTTAAACACTTTGCATAATCAGATCAGGAATAAGATTTGTGTCTCCCTATCATTAATCTTTTCCAAATGTTTAAAAGAGACCTATGGATAGAGAAGGCCAAAAGGTAGGGCTTCCCCCCACCCCTTTAAGACTCGATCTCAAATGTTGGTATTGCAAGGTTTTGATCCAAAGGTACAACCAAGTAAGATCCCCCCCCCCCGCAAGAGATTTCCTCACTGTTGTTCTCATCTTTTTTTTATCTTCTGTCTTCAGAACCTTGTAGGAAAAACAGCCCAGTGTCCTAACAGGAGCTCACTGAAAGTATATTTTAGACACTAAAATATACTTGTATGACACTTTGTATGACATGTTCAGTAGGATCAGGGACATGGCAGTGGTGTAGCAAAATCCCAGGGTTTGGAGCTAAATTAACTTCCCCCAGTCCCAAGATGGATCCACCAAGCCAGGCAACTCCATCTTTCTGCTGTGTTACTTTTTACCTCTCTACCCACCTCCTGCAGCCACACAAGCAGATGGAAGATTCAGAAATGGTTGAGAGGATACATAAGCCTATTCCAGTACTGTCTGTGGTAGTGCCTATCCCACTGGGGCCACCAGATTTTTTTTTCAGAAGACTTTTAAAAAAATCAGCAATGAGAAGTGACAGCCCACCGTATCTATGTGGCTGGGAGTCCATCAAAGATTGCTGGCCCTTTTTGACCAGGACATTTGTGGTCCTGTTCTGCCACCAGGACAGGGTGTTTTGCCTGTGATGTATCTTTTGCTACAGTTTCATAGCTGGGATTCCTTTGCGCAGATGCACCCTTTGCTGATTCTCTTGGGGAGGCCTCCCAGGCACGTTACATTCAGCCTCCAGAATTGTTTAGGCTAAGTTAGGAAACTTTACTACACTACTTTTTCTCGACGTACTAATGCATCAACCTGAGAAACTGAAGCAGACACAAATCGTATGGCAAATAATGAAGCTTTGTTAATTTCAGTAGAACCAGTTTAAGCTTCTTTCTGTTGATTATATTAGCCCTTTGTATTGGCTCTGTGCTATACATTTAAAGCAAAATAGACATTTGCATGGGTCCACATTTAACACTGGTATTCTTCCCCAGTTAGACTTCGCAACAGTGGTGTCAAACAATTGCAATTTGTTTCCCTTTCTTAAAAGACTTTTTTTTCTCCTTTTCATTGATCAGAGCAATTAAATGTTAACATTTGATTAACAAATTAACAAATGCAGCCCTACTCCAGCATTTCAAAAAGATAGATAATCCACTAAAACACTAGAACATGTATTCGGAGGACTATTTTTAATTATGTGTCTCCAACTTCATGGAGCTACATGATAGGAGACCAGCATCTCAGCTGCTACTGAACGTTTCTCAGGTTCACTTTTTCAGCACTGTGGAGGAAGAGAAAAGCTTGTGTGGCTTCATTGATCTCTTATTGGAAGGTGAGGTCCAGAATTTGGGGATCTAGCAGGGGGTGACTGAGTAAGGCGTGCCTTAGAAAAACTCCAAACCTGTGTCTGATCAGAATGAGTCTTACTGGGTCTCCTGAACAGAAGGAATAGTCTGCTCAACTACCTTTTCAGTTACAGGTGCTTCTTCTTGCCCCCAATTTTCTTCTGTGTTTTTAGACATTCTTTGATTAGGGACATGATGAGGACCCAATAGCCAGAACCAGGGGCAAAAGACATTCATGCACAAGCATTCACCCCTCTCAGAGAGAGAGAGGGAGAGGGAATTGAAGATCAGGGCCCCTCCAGCTCATTCTGGGCCTTGGAATTAGTTCCAAATGGACCATTGGCTAGTAGCAGCTATAGCTGTAAGCCCTCCTGTTACCAAGGCAGACAAGATGTTCAGGCACTTTTCTGCTTAACAGTTATGTGAGGAAAAAGTCTGCTACCATTTTGGGGCATCTTTAGCCATTATTAAAAAGCTGTGAGGGGCACTAAAGAGAAGATGACAGTTTGTCCACAGAAGGGACTTTGAGCTTTAGTTTGAACACACTTTTTAATCTACCATTCTGATTATGGTCCCCAGAAACCATGTCATCATTTGCTTCCAGGAAACTACTTTCCACTAATACTTGCATTAACCAACATTGCTGCCTGGTTCTACATAAAAGAGTTTTACTTCTGTTCAAGGGCACGTGCATGCAACTGTTTTGTGTTGGGAAAAGGGCAGGCAGCTTCCTAGAGTCAGTTGGCTTGATCCAGGCCTGCTTAGAATTTCCTGAACTCAGACCATTCCTGATGATTTCCAAAGCTTTCCTCACCTCAACAGCCTAAGTACAAAGTCCACTTGGTGTTCTTACTGCTGAACTATTGGGCGTAAGAAACCTTTGTACGGCTATTGTGACTCACCCAATCTAGATTCTGCCCAAGCTGTTCTGTGCAGGGAAGACCTGCAGGAAACTCCAGTTGCTCTTACCACATCTCTTAGTAGCCTCTCTCAAACTGTTTCCCCCAACTGTCATTCCTATTACTCTGCCAGCTTCCTTGGGAGCTGGGCAGCTGTTGAGCTCCAAACAGCACAAATGGAACACATGTTAATTATATTTTTAAACAATTTTGGGATGGGGGAGGGCTGCTTAATTTTATAAATTGACTAAATAAAATTATATATGATAAGGTAACCAAAAATAATTAAATTATCTTTAGAAATATCTTACCAACAGGCTTGTGGCAAGCGAATAGATTTGTTAAATCAGGTTAGAAAGACGTCAGCCCAGAGGATTCCTCAGAATCAAATCCCTCCTAATGGATATACCTGCAAAGCATAATGTAAAAGGAGCGCAACAAGTTATGGGAGGATTTTTTGCCTGTGTGGATTAAAGAGATCCAGCGTCATCTACTAATACTACTAGATCTGTGTGCATTTGGTTACTGAATTAACCCGCCTTCTTGGCTGCACAATTCATCGAACCCCTAACGATCAGATGGGGTAGATTTGCATAACAGGTTGAAAAACCTACACAAGGGTAAAACTAACAAAACATCTTGTACGAATGGAGCTGCTAAATCTTTAACCGGCCCGCTTAAGCTTATTATGCAAATACAGCGGAAACATATGGAGAACCAACTCTTCTGGCCTTCCCCCAGCCTAGCACCCTCAACGGCAGGGGTTGCTTCCCTCGTGCCTGGTGCGCTGGCTCCCAGATTGGGAAAGGCGGTTGTAGAATGAAAGCACCTTTTCAGTTCATTGGGATGAAAGGAGGTTTGTTGGAACACTTTGCACCAGTATTGCCACTTCCAGTCATCATCTGGTTGCTGCGTTTCATTCTGGTTTTCATAGATTGACATAATATGAGGACACAGGATATGAAGACACCCCAGACCCAAAACAATTGAGCAAATGTTCTGAACAGCTGACAGTATTTTCTTCTCATTTTAGTTAGGAATAATACTTTATTAAACTGGTATGCTGCCTGCCTGTCAACGACTTTGGGCGGTTCACAACAATCTGCCTGTTAAAAGAGGATGCAGGCCGAAAGACCCACGGCAGTGCTGTGTGTGGAAATACTGTAACCTAGAATACTCTAGTTAGCCTCTTTTCCTCTGCGATTTCCCAGGACCAGCTGAAATCCAGAAGCAGGGAGGAAGAGTAGTAATAGACCACTTGCAAGCACATCCTTTGAGTATTTTATGCACATCAGGAACAAATTATAAAGATCTTTAATGGCTGCTTAAGGAATCTGATGGTTTCCAATAGCACTTGAATTATGATCCAAATTGTAATATTTATCTCTAGATTCCTATTATGTTTAACTATTAAATAGTTTTGTAGTTGCAACCAACAAGGGTACAGCTTTCATATAATATTTAAGCCATTTTCACAAGTCAGTATCTTCATGGATGTGCAAAATACGACGTTTTCGCTAATCTAAATGTAACCTAGGATTCCTAATTGATTGTGAGAGGCATCTTCTTCCCTGTATCAGGACTCCTTTGTGGCAAATCTTGCCTTGTGCTGCAAAACAAACATTTGCATGCTGGAACTGTAAAGCTTGCACTTTGTCTAGCATTATTTGTGGAACCAGTTGGCATTGTTTGTACGTGGAACTTTTCCACGCTGGAACGTTCCAGTTCCAGAAACGTTTATAAGGCTTCCATTGTTCCACTTAAGACCATATTCCTGGGCATCAAATATACCCCTGAGAAGATGGCACAGTAGAGGGTGGTCATCAAAACCCTGCCCTGAGGAGCAGTACGGATCATCTTTGCAAACACTATGCATCCCATTCTCATTTGCTGCTAAAAAACTGAAAGCATCACGTTGATGTCTGCAAAGGACAGTGGCAATGTAAAGTTAGGTAGGAAATCACTGTTTAAAAATTTGGCCTTCTGTACCTGTATTACAGCTTAATTTTGGAGATAATCAGAATTGTTGAACAATGTAGTTGTTGCATGCCGGTATACTGTAAGATTCAGCTTGCATGATGTAACAAATGTTTATTTGGCCTTAGCCTATAACTGTTACTCTTGTAAGATGTGGTGCACAGCTGAAAGCACAATTTACTATACTTGCTACAGTGCAGGACCATGATGTATCTACAATGACAATTTGAATGTGTCATACCATTCCCTTCTCCCCACTTGGGTGGGAAAAGTATAATAGGTAGGAATGTACAGAATCCTGTTACCCCTTTCTCAGCTTTTCTGATGACCTAGTATAGCTGCACTCCCCCATCCATCCATGAACCATCAACAGTTAAAACAGAGCTTTACAGAACAGGAACGGGAGTGCCCCAGAAGCTGCTTTAGCTACACGGGGCACATTTCTTGAAACCCCTGCCTTGTGATACTACACCAATACAAACAAAAGAGCTTTGGTGTTTTGCCAGTCACGCTGCTTGCTTCCCACCACAATTTGTTTCATTATCAGGACCTACTTGAAAACATTGATAAAGGTGCATGAACGTATTACGACAAAGGCAGTTTTGGTGGTCATGGCTGATGGAGGAATAGAGCAGATTTTACCTTTGTGGAATTTTTAAAATTGATTTGTGTTTTCTAGCAGCAGAGTCATAAGTGTAGAGAGACTCCCTCAAGTCTCTTGTTGGTTTAAAAAGAAAAAAAATTGAGGCAGAGGATTCACTCCAAGATACTAGCTATTTCTCAGAAATATTGTCCACTTAATACATTGTAGTTAGATTTCAGTTCTTCCTCTGAGCTTTTAAGAGCATTTTAAAGAAGAAAATAGTAACTTCCTATGGGAGGGAGGGAAGATGACTCAGTGAAAGATTACATATAGATTAGTAAACAATGGAAGAATACTCTCAGAAGTTTTCATAAGCTACCAGCAGCTAACGATTTGACTGCACTTTTGCAAATACTTTGCCAAGTTTTTTTTTTTAATCATCAAAGCATTTTGTATAATAGCATTAACATTTAGTTTCGATAAATTGCTGATTAATAGTCTAGGATGTGGCAGCAAATTGCATGGCCCTTCATTCTATACATTTAAATATTTTGTTCACAATCTGTAATAATTCCTTGCTGTTTTTTTGTGCTAATGTGTAATCAAGGCACAATTGTTTCATTGATTATATGTCAAAGAGTGGATTTCCCCATTTGATTTTATAATCAGAAACATATGAAATGGATTGCTTAAGTATAGTGGAACGTAATCATTCCTAAGGTTTCTCAGAATCTCCTTTGGTTGTATCATATTCTGCTTTTTTATCATGTTGTCTCCTGAATGTTGAACTGTTACATTCTCTCAGGTTCATTAACTGAAAAAATGTATGTTCATGCTTGTGTAGCAGTTAAAGCATGGAAATATTTTACAATAAAAATGTTTTGTAGAATCACATTGAAGTATTTAAATATCTGTTACAACTTATTGTGTAATGCCACATTTTTAAAAATTCAAATACCAAGTTTCAAAAACGTAGAGCATTTCCATAATGCCACTTTCTGTACCTTCAGCAGGGCTGCAAATTAATGGAGGACTTATGCTTTTCTTATGTAAAGAGGTGTTTACATCAGTAATGGGTGTGCCTACTTGAGAACCACTGATATTTATCAGTAGCTGTCCTGAACTTTAAATCACAGAACAACATTAGGGCACTACCAGGGTGGATTAATTTGTCTTGTTTTGCATGATGTAATCTGCCATTTTTATGATTTAGCTTATTTTTAGTCAGGTTCTACTAGTCACAAGGACAAAGAGCCCAGTTTCCAGTTAGTGGACATCTTATTCAACCATCTCCAAGTTTTAAGGTTTTAGGAGCCAGCAATGTCCCATATACTTAAAACATATCTTCAGTAAGAATTAGGAACTTGCTGTTAAAGAAATGACAATAAATATCCTTAGGTCTGATTATGGACAGAAAACTCAAGGTTAACAGAGCTAGAATATTACTGTTTTTTTTTTTTCTTCAAAACATGCAAACGATTTGTGGTTCTCAGGTACCAGCTGATTAACAACAGACAGCAATCAGGAGACATTTACTGATATCATAGCCAAGCTAAAAATATTGTCCAGGCAGTGACCTATAATGCCTGTTTTCAATATACATCAATGATCTTTCTGAAATAAACAGTTTGCTTTAAAATTGTGTACAAGTTACCTGTAATGAAATGCAATGTTAGTTTTGTCCTTAATTGTTCCCATTTGTATTAATTTAAAAATCAGTAAAAATTACTATTTTTCAAACGCAAACAAACTGACCCGTGCTGTAAAAATCTGGATGATCACAAGATGGCAGCAAAGACTAGGGGGTTTCTGTATCTCTTTGCCTCCATCTGGTGGTCATTCAGAATTCTGCAGCCCAGATCTGATGGCCATGCATGGCCTCATCTGCTGACTCATATATTCATATGTGGGCAAGTGTGAACAGTGTAATATTTTGTACACACCATCCTTTGAATTCTGCCTGCATTTTGTTTACACATCTTTATTATCGTCTCATAACTTCTGCACAGCTTGAGAATGCAATCTAGGAAAACTAAAATTACATCCAAAGACTGGCACAAACGTGTCACTTGTTTCCAGTGAAAAATCCATCCGTTTCAGAAAAAAGTTTAGTTGAATAATAATAATAATAATAATAATAATAATAATAATAATAATAATAATAATACAGACAATGGTGCCTTCACAGTTAGTTTATTTTACCGTTGCAATCAGCCAAACTGGCTACAAAGAATAAATAAAGCAGAGGGCAGCACTTTGAATATGCCCAACATTAGATGTCTATGGTGTGCTTTATTGCCCCAACTCATTATTAAAACAAAACTAGACTTAAGATCAAGTATCTATCCTTTTAAATAAAAAATTAGCGCAGGTCAACTATTTTCACCTCTGGACAAAAAAAGAAAAACAAAGATGTTAAATACTCCCATAGATACCTCCACTTCAAATTATAAAATGTAGAAAAATGATATAATAATATCTTACAGTAACAAAACACAAACAGGTTAAGTACTTCAGTCTGTTCCAAAATACTTCTGCCCAAAATGTGTAGGTGCAACTGGATGAACTTCTGTTGTTAAAATTGTGATATCTGGAAATTCCTGGATTATTGATTTGGCACCTTAAAAAAGAGAAAACTGTAAATTATATATATATAGTTATGTTGATTTTCCACTTCTGGAATGTGCCTTTTTCTCCTTATCCAATTATTACAAGCTTCAATCAACAGTTGACAAACATTTTTTTTTTCCTTCCCCAGTATTCTGTAAATTTAACAGCTGTATTCTCTTTGGACATATATTTAATTTATATGTGATAGCTTATGAAGTTTCTGTGGCTATAACAAGGAGTTCAATGATACCTCTATAATACAGAAATGATCCTCTCCAGAATACTCTTATTTACATAAGTAAGGGAAAACTCAGTTGGGTCCTGATAGGCATCAAACACACACACAACCACACATGCACACACGAGGAATCTCTTTCAATTAAACTGGTTTTTTATGAACCTGACATGAAAGGGTTTCACTACACAGGAATGTTGAAAACCTTTCCAAATGTTAAAGGAGTATATTGATAGATTATTCATTCCATCTCGATTTGTACCTTGAAATTTGAAGGTTTTTACACCAGTGCCTTCAATGGGGTTCAGCAAAGGCAGCCTGTTTTTTAAAATCTTGCAGCAGATGGGTTAAGGATTATGCCTTTCCATGTAACAGATTGTTTTATCAAGTTCTCATTAGATTTACATATTTGTTTAGTTATAGATCTATATTGAAACCTTCTGTCTGCCTCTTTTTAAAGAAATCAACTATAACCTATAATACTTTTTGTGGTTGAGTTTTCTCTATTCATTTCCAGCGTGTGCAGGGATCTCTTTGGATGAAAAGAGAGCTAAGCTTTTCCCCACAAACACCCTTCTTATTTCATTGCATGCTACTAGTTTGCCCTGCTGCCTGAACTTACCATGGGGTGTAGAGAACAGACTCAGCAGGATTATGACGTTTGGCTGAACCCCGTGTTCTATAAGAACCTTTACAGCCTCTATCACAGTGTTGCCAGTGCCTGGTCAATGGGTGGGGGAGAAGAGTGGAAAGAGAGAGGGTAGAAAACAGAGTTTTGAATTATCCAAGTGTCTTTTCAAACTTGGTGTGTGTCGCAGTCATCTTTCCTTTCAGTACGATTACAACTGGAGTTTGAGTAACTGTGGCACAATCTATTCCCAATTCTTTTCAAGAAACTTCTACAAAATATTTGGCTAGCTTAGAACTCAGGAAAAAATAGTCAATTACTACATATTTTATGAAGATTTAAACATGCCATCACTTAAATTATATTAGCTAGCAATAACTCCCTTTGCTTAGTTGAATTCATTCCTTTTATATTATCAGATTCCTCTCCCTCAATATGTGCAGCCCAGGATCAATGTTTTGCCAGCTAAATTAGATCACTGAATAGACCTTCCAGCAAAGCACGAAACTTGTGTATTTTGTGGCTCACAAGAAGCTAACGCCTGTCATCTAGCCAGTGACTTATCCATGTTCCAACTGAGCACTCTGCGGTCCACACAGCTTCTAATACACTCTTTAAAGCACTCACTCAGAATTGGGTACATGAGGAGGACTTTTCTCCTGTAGATGTCTGGTGGAAATTTTGCATAGTATACTTTGGCCCTCTGGGTCTCTTCGTCGCTCTGGATCAAGATCTTCCCTATTCGTATAGATCTGCAGCAATCACGCAAGCCCTGTTCCATTGCCTCGCCTTCAGTGGGAGAGGAAAACAGGAAAAAGTTACGCATCGAAGAAGGGCAAGCAGATTTCGTAGTGTTTCCAAGCAGAAGGACCTTCCCTTCTTGACATAAATTTTATGTCTTCTTCATTCGAATAAAATTCAGGAAGGACTTATACAGCTGGTCTTTTGAACGCACAAATACTAGCTTTAAAAATGGTATTTGTACTGTCAGTCCCCTTGTAACTCTACACTATTTTCCTGAATATGGTTATCTATCTTAAATAGGTGAATTGCATGCACTGTTTTCCAATTTGCATTCTGGCATTATTGGTATATGATTAATAATAACAAATATCAACAAGCACACAAGAAACTTTAAGTGACCTACCACTTCTCATTATGCTGACTCCACAGTTTCCCTTTTCAAATTTCACTCCTTCGTATTTGTACCCTGTTGAAAAGACACATGAATAAAGACGTTTCCACAGAGGTTGATATCTTTTTCAAGTTATTCAGTAGTAAACCTAGTAACTTCACTTCCCAGGCTTCTTTTAGTGCAATGACATGTTTAAATACCAAAAATGAGGATCTATAAACTTGCAACTTACCAGTCACAGAAAGACAGGACAATATTGCAATGGCTAACCTTCTGTGACAAGAAATAAAATTTAACTTAATATGCACTTTCACTGCAAAAATTTACAGATGTATTTCTTTTTAAGTGCTGAAATCTCATTACCATCTGCACAGTAGTCAATTAATAAATTTCCCTCTTAAATTTTAGTCACATTCATAATTTTCTTTGGATACACACAAAGAAGGAAAAGCCCAATGAGTTGCTGTTGTTAAATAATTAGTTGTATATATCTTCCATATTCTTATACCACTCCAAGTCAGAAATCTGAGGAAAGAATCTAGTCACCTCTGCAAAGAAGTGAAAAAATAACTATGGAAGCTCCATTACTTGTTTAATGAAGCCTTCCCCAATTGCCCAATAGATTTGCCTTGGGACTTCCCAAACTCCAGCCTGCAGGCAGAAACGTATCAGGTCAAGAAAGCTACTTTAGGCTAATGTGCTGAGCAAGATCCCAGGCAAAATTAAGAGAATGACTCTATTTATTTATCAATAGTTACAGATTATTGCTCCAGTCATATAGACTCTGGCTTGATTATGCAGCTCGTTCAGCCATTTCTGCCAGAACAAAAAGCCAACTGACTGAATGCAAAGCATGCTTCTTGAAGCCAGCCCATGATTTTGAACGTCTGAAGTTAATACCTGGCCAACCATAGCTGAAACCGAAAAGTTTAACCAATTTGAACCCGTCCATGCTTATATGGAAGGCCACTAGGAAATCCCAGACCTGTAGACCCGGCTGGGGAGTCAAAATACATTGGAGAAACAGGCAACTGCAAAGCCACTTGTATATGGTTTCCAAGAAAACTACACAGATGCAGCCATGAAATCACCACGAAGAGTGCTCAGCCTAAAGGAGATTTTATCTTCACCTTTACCAGCACTTAAGAAGCACATCCTTATGTTTCCAACTGATCCTGTCTGGGTCTAATCCATGAATCAGAAAATATAAAGCTCTTACTTACACAAAAGCTCTCAAAGGAACTAATTAGAAGGATATATTGATACAAAAATAAGAAGTGAACTTATCATATCCTTGCTAGTTAACTACAGTTGCAACATTTCTCAGACCCACTTCAACGAAACCTGGGGTCATATGCACTCCCCAAAAAGCTCTGATCAGAGGCAAGATGAACATGTTAGATAAATAGTCCAGGTAGTCCTCGCTTACCAACTGCCTCATTCAGCAACTGTTCAAAGCTATGACAGTAGTGAAAAAGTAACTTTGTGCCCATGCCCACATTTACAATCTTTGCAGCGTCCCTCAGTCATGTACGCATTGTCCTGTGCCTGACCTGTTGTTTTTCTTTCTTTCCCCCTTGCAGAGCAGAGAGACTGAAGAGGAAGGGATTACAAGAGAGTAAGCAGGCACACAGTGGGGAATACACACTGAAAGCAATGCAGTGGCGATGGCAGCATGAGTGCGCTACACAAACAACCTGGCCTCCTTCTCTAATCTCTCCACTCTTGGGGGTAGGGAGAAACAAACAATTTCTGTAGGCAGTCTCTCCTTTGCCTGACCTGTTCCCCCTGCCCCGCAGAGCGGAGAGATGGAGAGGAAGGGATTACAAAAGAGGAAGTAGGCACACAATGGGAAATACACTGGCTATTTACGGAGCGTGCTCAGGGTTGCCAGCACCACCACATTCCTTTCAATGTGTATTTCCCCATTGTGTGCCTGCCTACTCTCTTGTATTCCCTTCCTCTCCAATGAATGTAAATACAAACATTAATTCCCTTCTTGCTAATTATCCCAGCACCAAGGTGAGCATTCCAAAGGGTGGGGGAGTGGGGAAAAGGAAAGCAGTCATGGTCACATGATTTCCCACTTAATGAGCACTTCACTTAGCGACAGAATTGCTGGTTCCAATTGCAGTAGCTAAATGAGGACTACCTGTATTTGAATGATCACAGCATTGACCTAATGATCAATCCTACAGTTAAGAAAACTGAGAGAACCCTCTGTTTACTGGTTTATTTGTATTCCTCAAGGTATTGTTTAATCTGTACTTCCCACAAAAAAATTGGACCAAGAAACTATCATGTTCATTTTTTTTATAATTCAAAGCAATTCACATTTTGACTTCATAGAAGTCCATTAGTCTTCCATACACTTTGTTTTTCTTTCATGCCTGCAACAATAAAAAGCAGACAAGGACATCAATCTCCTGGGAATGTTATATAACATTTCTGCTAAAAAGTATTCCATGTTTTGTTTAATAATTTATTGGTTTATGCTAATTCTATGATTGGTTATACATCTGTTATCTATCCCTTTTAGCCTTTCACAGGTAGCCCTCAGTTAACAAGTAACTGGGACCAAGAACTCCATCACCAAGGGATGCAGTCATAAAGTGCAACATCACATGACCACACTGATTTATCACAATTACAGCCGTTAGGCAAATTCTGCAGAGTCATTAAGTGCGACGTCATGCGATTGCCATTTGCAAACTTCTACCAGCTTCCCCACTGACTTTGACAGAAACTGGTAGTGAAGGTCGCAAATGGTGATCGTGTGACCATGGGACGCTGTAACTGTCATAATTGCGACCCTAACCCTTTTTGTAATTTGGCCTGGGCCACCCCACCCCTTGGGAGCTTCTACCTCCTTTTACCTGTTGGAGTGGTTACTGTGCATTCTGTGTATGGCAGCCGATTTAATCCCTCTTCAACCACAAGCCTGATCTGCAAGAGAGGTAAAATTCAAATAATCACAGCAAAACCATAGTTTCAATAAATGCCCTAAGGTTTCTTTTCACTTTCATTGTAAGCACAACTTGTTTCCTCCCTAGCCTAAAGTAAACCTAATGGATTTTATTTAACCATCTACAAAATAGTAATTCAAAAGTTGAATTACGCCAGTAAGACAAAATCAGTTTCACAGAATGAATTAATCGGAAGAGGTCATCTAATCTAACCCTTTGCGTAGTGCAGAATTCACTAAAACGTTCTCTAAAAGTTGCCATACAGCCCCCTTCAGAGAACCTCCATCAAGGAAGAATCCATCATTGTTTCAGGCAGACCGTTCAACCGCCAGAAAGTAGATTCTGACTGAATATTAGAAAAGATTTCTTACTTTCCTTTAGCTTCATCCCTTTGCCTTTGTCCTGCTTTTGGTTTCAATACAGAACAAATGTCCTTCCCTGGGTGCCTTTTAGATATTTGTGGAGCACTACATATTTCCCCTTAGTCCAACTCCTTTAACCAACCTTCATTCCATACCCTTTATCATGCCAGTACCTCTCAACTTCCTCAAGTTTTTCTATGTCCCTTTTAAAATGTGATGCCAGAATGGGACACGGTATTCCAAATGAGATTATAGGACAGCAACAATGATGGATAAATGGAGAGTATCTTGGAGAGTTCTCTCCACATCACTACTGGCATTACTGCTGAACCAACCCAAACAACAGAGTTTACTCATTTAACCCTTTGATTCTAGAATTTTTCAAAAGGCAATAAAACAAGATTTCCAAAGAACATGTGTGTGAATGATGATTTCTGGTTCTTCCCATTGTATATATACTGGAACCATCTCCATGAATCAGCTAGTACCATAATCAAATAGGAGGGAAAGAAAAATGATGAGATTCCATGTAAACAGGTATTTCCAAGAAAACTGGCACTGAAAAATACAGTAATAATTGTCCAATAGTTTAAAACTGGTTACATTAAGTAAAAAGTACCCTAAAGATACCAAGTGATCCAGGATCCATTATGGATTCTTGAATGTACATCCTAAAAATTTATGATAAACTATTATGTGGAAAATAGTTTATCATAAATTTTTAGGATGTACATTCAAGA